GATGAATATGATGAAGACTAAAAAGCACAGGATGCCATATGGACTGATGCAAAATCAAAAAAAGGCAAAAGACTGGCCCTGCCCTCCGGAGTTCACAATATGCATAATGACTACAGTGTTGTAAAAAGCAAAAACAAGAGTGATAAAATAATCAAGGTTGAATGCTACACAATTATACCAAGCTTTCCCTAAAGAAGAAATTAAAGAATTCACTTCTTTCTCTTCTTTGTAGAGGTAGGGAAGTATGGGTATGAAATACTGTAGGTTATATCTTGACTGATGTGTAGGTTAGTTTTGCTGAACTGGTTTTTTAAAAAAAAATTTTTGTTACAAGGGATAGTTCTCTGGGAAAAGATGGAGAGTGCTATATTGGTAAATGAAGGTGATTAAAAAAAAGCTATCAATAAGAAAAAGAAAAATAACTGCTAAGGTATATAAAATATATAACTCCTGAGAGAGCACTAAGCATATATTGTTTTTGTTGTAGCGTTTCATTTCTTATGGGTTTGTTTAGTTATCTTTGCTAGGCTCTGTATGGAAATGTCAGTGATTATAAGCATAGTTTCCTGCTTGTTGCACGTTGGCCCCAGGGATTGCTCACCCCAGACCACCAGGGTCACCTCTGGATCTCTTCTGCTCAGAGGCAGAAGTTAATTCCTTCTGCCTGAGGGATAAATGTTAATCTATGACATGGCCAGTTTGATCACTAAAGAACTTTTTTTTTTTCTTAACTGGGAATTCTGTCTTGAACCAAAATATTGGTTTGTTTTGTCTAGTTATATTCTACCTAACATATGGCTGCAATTAATCAATTGGCCAAATGACTACATATTTTTCATATTTCTTAATTTTAAAATTTAAATTTTTAAAAAATTTCCTAAATTTGGAAACCTCTTATTTTTCAATTTTAAAATTTAAATGTTTTTTAATTTTAAAATTTCCTAAATTTGGAAACCTCTTGAATATATCATCTTTAAATGGGAAGAACCTTTAAAATAGGGACTGACTAGCAGATTCTGCTCACCCTCCTTTCCCTCCAGGGACACTGGACAATTTACTCCTTTCTCTGGCCCTCACTTCCCTCATCCATTAAATTAAGAAGTTTTACTAAATGTTCTCTAGGGGACTTTCCAACTCTAATGTTTTATATAGCTTACGTAGATGAAGGTCATTTGCATTCCTAGTCTAATGTCCTCTGTTGTTGTGGGTGAAAGATGAAATAACTGAGGAAAACAAAGTTTTGATCTTCTAAGCCTATCAGTTTATTAAGCAATGCATGGCAATTGCCCAACAAATCAGGATCAGACCTCTTCAGCTTAGGCCTGGACCCGGAAGACAGGAAGAGACACTTTTTTTATACGTTAAAGATAATTAATCAAATAAGGTCAATTAATTAAAAGGAAACAATACAACATTAGGTAATCTGATTTCTAATTGGATGAAAAATTAGGAACTTTCCAAGTTGGGAGGGGGACAGTGAACAGGTGCAATTCCCTGAATTCAGAAAAGGGGGTGTCCCACTCCCCACATATGTGTAAACAATCAAAGGAACATGGAAACAATAACTGATTGATTAGTAGGGGGCCAGTTTTCAGGTAAGACATATGGATTGCTTGAGATACACAATTGTGAGAAAACTCCTTGCATCAGTATTTGGATCTGACTTTCTAGTTAGTAGCCTAGAGTAACCTAGGTCCTTGGTTAAGGGTCTCTAACCAGCAAGGAGAGGTAGTCCAGTTTCCCAGCCACTCAGTGCTAGTTTTAAACAATGTAAAAAAGTTTTCTTCCAATTCCCACAATTGAAAAAAGTTTTCTCACAAGACAGAAATTGGACTAGACCCATAATTGAATAGAAGCTAAGCTAGCTCCAGAATTGAGTCACAAGATGGAGTCAGTGTGGTTCACCCAATTCCCACAGTCAACCACTTGCTGTCCTAATCCCCTCAATTCCCTTTCTGTTGAGAACAGAGAAAAGTTATATGATAGAAGTATCTTTTAACATTCCAAACCTGATGGGGTCCTTAATTATCTACTGCTTTATTTTTGAAAATTACTACTCTTGCTCCACTCATGTTAATGTAAGAAATTCCTACTGCCATGGATAAAGAATCCATTGTTTTTATTATCAATAGTACTTAGACCTACACTGAAAGAAATGGAAATATACGTTTAAATATAGACCAGAGTCTCACGAGCATGGACGGGTAGCAAAGATTCAAGAAATTTTGCTGCAGTTGACAGCAAAAGCTGCAGTAGGAGTTTTAATCTAGCAAATTTTCATTCTGATAGACCCACTAACCAGGAAATAATGCTAGTCTCTGTGATGCATTCAGCATGGGAATAATTAAATAGGCTTTTCTATGGTCAGGTTGTTCACGCTGTCTTTGTAATCCTCATTTTGTTTTATTTTTCCCAGTTTGGATTTTGGAGGTCATTTTGGGTGCTGGCATTTGCCCTTCTACTGCAGGATTACCTGAGCAGAATTTCTAGTAGTTTCCGTACTTATGACAAGCTGCATAGTAACCAAACCTTTGTCTTGATTGGGGGTTGGGAGGAATGTGTCAGGAATTCGGTAGAGACGAAAAGGCTGCAAGCCTCTGAAGGTAATAAGTCAACATTATGTTCTACCAGTTTCATTTTTCACAATGTGGCCTGGCTTTTTGAATTCTGTAGTCATAAACAAACATTACACATACAGAGGTACATTCACACCCACCTTTCTGAGTGCTGGGATCTTAAGTGTTCTGATTGTCTATTTACTTAAAGGGGATTATAAAACCTAGTTCCTCTGAATATCATAAAGATTATAATAGATATCCTATCTTCTGAAAAAATTTACATACAGTCTGGTAGTATGTGGGGAGAGAGACTAGATGGAACCTGGGGGTTCGTTGTAGAGGGATATTTTTAGGATGCTAGGAATTCTGAATTTGACAGGTATACCTGATGCTTTAGAGATGAGAAAACGTGAGGTCATTTTATCCACGCATTTACTGAAGAAAATGATTGAACTCAAATGAAAGCTTTGATTTCTAATGGAGTTAAGAGACATCTACTTTATGGTTTCATAATTGGTAATTCATCTTTGGAATAATAGAAGAATAAAAGTACTTCATCATATTTTAGTAGCAGCTTGTTTCTTCATGAATGATTTGTGTAATACAAAATTTTTGTTACTTGACTATTCTTTATCATTTTAGTATAAAATTTAGTATAAAAATTTGAGAAAATTCTCTTGAGATATATGTTTAAAAACTATTTTAAGGTAGAAGAGTTGTTTTAACCTTATTTAAATTATAAATATATCTTTCTGAGCTCTTCAGTAGTGTTTATTCCAATTAATTTCAGGTGTTGAAATTTTATCTTGTTTTTGAAACTCCATGAATCCTCTGCATTATAAAAATGCCTGCTGTGAATCTGCTGAGGGCTGGGAGATAGCAAGAACAAAATGGGTGCTGTTTTATTTTATTTTATTTCTTTTAGTGAGAGGAGGTAGGGAGAGATTATTGCTCAACTATAATGGAAAGATTCCTAGCCTTAGAACAGAAAAACCTGTCCTTGGGGTCTTGCCCTAGTACGTCTTAGCCATGTAACAGACATTAGGCATGTCACTTAACTATTCTGAACCTCAGTATCTTCATAAAATGGAGAAATTCATATTCAACCAATAAACAAGCATTTATTACATTCTTAAGTGCCTTACACTGTGCTGGGGGCCTAGAGATAACATTTAGGGAGAACAAAACAACCCCTACTCTTGAGAAACTTCCATTCAAACAGGGGAGAGGACGAGTACATAGAATACACATAAATTCAAGACAGTTTGATACAAAGTGATTAGTAGCAGTTAGGGTATAAGGATGGGCGTCATGTAGATGGTGGCATTTGAACTATCTTGAAGGAAGAGTTTCTGTGAAGCTGTGGTGAGGAGAGAGGGCATTCCAGGCATGGGCAGCAGTCAGTGCAGAGGCAGAGTTGGGAGGTGGAGTGCAGTGTAGGAGGAACAGAGAGAAAGCTAGCTTGTCTGGATACTTACACTACCTATATCATAGGATTGTTGAGGAACTAGAATAAGTAAATGATGTCTGTGAAAATGCCTGTCTCTGAGATAGTATTCAAATAGAAGCCTTCCCGGCTACATGGCCAGCAGCTAAACACTACACCACCTAGATGTGGTGGGGAGATCAGGACAGGATTCACATAGAAGATGGCATTTCAACAGAGAGTTGAAGGAAATAAGAGATTCTAAGAGGTAAAATGCAAAGGGGGACACATGGAAGATGGAGTTATATGGAAAGAACAGCAAGATTAGTTTGGTTGGATTGCAGAGTGGATGGAGGGGAATAATATATAGCAAGGTGGGTAAAGTAGATTGGATCTAAGGTGGTGACGAGCTTTAAGAGTCTAAAGGGGTCTTGAGAACAAAAAGTTTGAGAACCACTGATCTAGCACAATGCTCTGAACACAGTGGATATTTAATAAAAAGTTGAGTTGAGAATAATGTACAAATAGCTTTTCTGTAAATATGAGTTAATACAATCATGTAAGTTATATTTTCTTATTAACCTGTTATTGGATGCCATTAAATCTGTTCATTTTAATGAGTTACTTGAGAGTTCCATTATTGATATAAAATATAGAGTTATAATCATTATTGAACCAGAGTTTTGTTTTGTTTTATTCTAATAATCTTAACAGTAAAAAATTTCAGTTACTTTTTTTCTTCTGGCAGTAGTTTAAATATATGTATGGAAAATTGGACGGTGAAAAAGCCTTACAAAAATCTATACCTATACCTTTATTTACATATATATGTATATGATCTATGAAAAATCTGTATGCTAATGTCATATGTTAGGTTACATATGTATTAGGTTATGTCTATATTGAGTTATTTAATGATATATGTTATATATTAGGTTATTTAAGTACTTCATGTCATTGATAATCTTCTTCCTAAAACCATGCTGACTTTATTTTTACGTAAATATATTTCATAGGAAATAGCTCGTCATCTCCGCCCTGGAACCCTCCGAGCTCTCTTTGGGAAGAGCAAAATTCAGAATGCTGTTCACTGTACTGATTTGCCTGAGGATGGTCTTTTAGAGGTAAGATGCACAAGGACCACAGTCTTATCTCAACTTCATTCGTAGTATTTTTTCTAAGTAAGAAAACTTTAAAAAATATTGGTCTATGAGATTATATGATTGTTTTACAAATAGAATGTGAATCTGTGAAATACCCTGTTGGTAGAGAGGCCCCATGACATGCTGGGTAGAATGCACCCTTTGGAATCCAAATTACCTGGGCTCACTTCCTGCCTCTTATACTCTCTGTGTGACCGTGAGAAAGTAATTTACCCTGTTTGAGTCTTACTTTCCTCATCTGCAAAATGGGAATAAATGGGGATAATAATGCCCATAGAATCACTTCTTGTTGTTATGAAGATGAAATGAGATGATGTATATTTTTTGCTTTGCAGATTTTGAAACCTTTAAAGGTCACATATTGGTTATCAGCTTTATAGGCCCCTAATTAGGTTTAATAGACATTGTAATGATTCATAATTTCAAATACTTTGCTGTTAAGTGGTATATTTTGTAGCTGTGTAAGGTTAATAAAGATTTAACAAAAATCTAATGAAATAAAGGCTTTTGGTAAGTATTAACTATCACTCCGAATTGTAATATGTGAAAGCATCTCAAGTTAAGTTAATAAACAAAGCACTTTAAAGTTCTGTCTGTGCAACCATTTGCCAGAATAGACAGAGCTTTTGGTTTGGTTGAACCAGTCGCATTTTCCATACATATAAAGAACAATGGAATGGAAATCTGGTGACCAGGATTCCATTCTGTTTGTTCGGTTAACTAGCTATATAGCCTAGGGTAAATAATTTTCTTTCCTAGAATTTCAGTTTCTTCATCTGCCAAGTGATGGGATTGGACTAAATGAAAACTAGGACTTTGATCTTCTACACAGTGATGAAAAGTTGATTTTTTCTACTACTCTTGATGGCCTTATAAGGGGAATAAAGTGTGTCTTACATTTAAGAAGCCAATGGTGATAATCTAGGTTTACAGAAAAGATAAATGAAAGAGCCATTATTCACTTTCCTGAAGGAGACTTTATTTTATAAATTGATTTGTCATAAGATTCATTTAGATATAGAGTTCTTCTAATGAATTTAAAATATGGTGAAATTCATAAAAATTGTATAATTTACAGAAATTAACTTTATATGCTTTTCAGAAACATGAAAGCTTTTCATAATATATACTTTTAAAAAGGAACTTCGTGCTTTGTGATTATATTTTAAGAGTCTTCCAAGTACTTAAAGGTAATCTCACTCTAGCGTGTAGTACAGAGGGATGCAAAACACATGTGCAATAATTCTGACTTTATATTGGTTGTATATTGGTAATTGAAAATACTACATACAGTGGGTAGATCAGACCAGGGGTCTTTGAGTTTGGCTATGTGAACATGTTTTTTGAAAATATTTTGGTAATTATTATAAATATAATTAGGTTCTTTTGTAATTCTATACATTTAAAACATTATTCTAAGAAAGGGTCCGTAGGTTTCACCAGACTACCAAAGGGGGCATGACACAAAAAAAGATAAGAACTTCTGACCTAGACAGAATGAGGAATAAGGTAATTTTGGAGATTAGATGACAAACTTAGCCTAGAGATATAAAGTAGAAAAGATGAGGGACTTCAGTTATCTAGACAGCTGCTGGAATTATCTTTCTTTACTCCCAGAAGAGAAGCTAATTTCTTGATTTGCCTTGATTATTATTTAAATTTGCAAAGATTAGAGCACCACTTAAAGGACTTTCTATTTTGAATCTGGTTCTCATCAACAAGGATGAACTGGTTGCTGGAGAGAATATCATGGCAAAGTTGGAACCATTCCAAGTTATAAATGGTGATACCAAAGGAAAGGAAAGCTGGGAATGAAATGACATGAACCCTAGATTTCTGGGAGGAAAAATTTGAAGAGTTCATTGAGAGGATGAGTAGGATCCTGTGGCTTAAAAGTCTACTGGCCAAGTGGGCCCAGGAGATCTGGGAGTCTCAAGAATAAAATTCTGAAGATCCAGAGAGCAACAGCTCCAATGAAGAGGAAAAAGAAGGGTTATGTACATGACTACAGTGAATACACAGAAAACTTTTCAGCAAACTTAAAGAACATACAGAATATAGAAACAAAGGCAAGTCATAAAGAATAAATACCAAGACACAGCCTTGTACTGTGAGGATAATGTAAGAAGCACAACGTGCATGGTGAAGAAAGCAAAGGACCACAAAAAGGGCTTATTTTTGTTGCTAACTTCATTGAGGTTGGAGGAGAATGAAAGAAAGGACTGAAGGGTAGAAGGGAGCATGATAAGCTATGGAAAGAAAAAGATGAACTAATTCACATTGATTCTGCATCTCTTTTTCTTGACAAGGGGAATGATTTGGGGGCTGGACAGTATAGAACAAAAATAGGGAGTTATTACCTAAGATAAGTAGGGAAAGGGAGAAAGAGAGAGAGAGAGAGAAAGAGGGAGAGGGAGAGAAGGAGAGAGGAAGAGAGAGAGGAAGAGAGAGAGCACTTAGTTGTGCTTGATGAATTTGAGTTACCTGACCCAAATAAACTGTGTCTTTAGTGGCAGGTGTTATTGCAGAATCAGTCAGTGATCTCTCAAAGATTTTTGAGAATGGAAAAGCTGATGCAGGACTAGACAGATGCACTATTTATTTTCCTAATTTTCAGAAAAGAAAAAAGTTATTGGAATCCTACAACTACAGGCCTTGAATAAGTAGCTAGGTGATGTAATAGAGCACTGGGCCTGGAGTCATGAAGACCTGAGTTCAAATGTGGCCTCTTATGTTTACTGGTTTATGTGGCTCAGGGCAAGTCACTTAACTTCGTCTGCCTCAGTTTCCTCAATTATGAAATGGGATTAATAATAGCATATATGTTGCAGGGTTGTTGTGAGGATCAAATAGAACTGATTGAATGACCAAGTCCAGAGTTTTCAGTAATGACTTGGTGTCAGCTTGGAATTAGATCTCTAATGGAATGCACCAGGGATCTGTGCTTTGTATTCTCAGTGACAGCAATAAAGACCTAAATGGGGTGTAGATGAAATTTTCAGATGACACATACCTGAGAGGGATGGCTGACGTCCCATGGCAGTCAGGATACAAAGAAATGTTTGAGAAGTTACTATTTGGGGATGAATTTAATAATATAGGATTTCATAGAGATAAATATACATTCTTACACTTGGTTTCATGTTGTCTTCTTCATGTTCACGAGATAATGCAGCACTAGAGGTGATGAGGGGGTACAGTGGATAGAGTGCTGGGCTTAGAGTCAAGAACACCTGAGTTCAAATTTGGCTCAGACGTTTAGTATCTGTGTGACCTTGGATGAGTCACTTAACCCTTGTTTGCCTTAGTTTCCTCATCTGAAAAATGGGAATAATAACAAGATCTACCTCACAGGGTTGTTGTGAGGCTCAGATGGAATAGTTTTTGTAAAGTGCTTAGCACAGTGCCTGGCACATAGTAGATACTATATAAATGCTAGCTATTATTGTGATGATGATGATGATAAAATTAATAGACTAGTTTATCTAAAAAAGATCAGAGGGTTTTAGTGGCTGCAAGCTCAATATGAGTGTCTCATGAAAGGAGGCTTACATAATGTCCAGAAAGAGGGAGGTTACAGTCCTACTGTTCTCAGCCCTGGCCACACCATTTTTAGTGTAATGTGCTCTGTGCATCACATTTTAGGAAGGATGTGGATAAGCTCAGGAGTATTCATGAGGACATCCAGAAAGGCAAAGGTCCTCTGGATTATGCTACATATGGACTGGTTAAAGTTGGTGAAGATGTTTAGCTTAGAAAAGAGAAGATTTAGGGGTAACATGGTAATTGTCTTCAGTTATTTGAGCTGTCATATAGAAGAGACAGTAGATATATTTTGCTTAGTCCCAGAAAGTCTAATTTGGAGTAATGGTTGGAAGTTGCAAAGAGGCAAATTTAGTCTTGATATAAAGGAAAAACCTCTTAACAGTAAGAATTGCTCAAATGTGGCATTGGCAGGGAGGTGTGGGTAATGGACTTAATGCTGTACGTGTTGAGGCAAAGTCTGGGTAAACCTTTTTCAGTTGTTATTCAGAGGATTCTTTTTTTAGGTACCTTTTGGCTATAGATGTCCTCTGAGGTCCCATCCAATTCTAAGTTTTCCTGATTATTTGCGTTATTTCTAAATAAGCACTGAAGATTGTAATTTATTCTTGATGGGAAGTCCATATCTTAAGTCTACTTCTGCATAATTATACTTTGAATGTTGTGGTATATTCAGACATTTTCTTATAGATGGTCACAGGGCAATAATCCCGTATATGTAAATCTTAATCATATTCTTGATCATACTGTTTTACATTTTAGAATGATTATTATCCACAAAAGGAAAGAGCAATTAGCAAAGATATTGCTATAATTTTTATAACTTCCAGGATAATCATTTGTTTAAATTAAGTTATCCATCCTTGATTAAATAAAAGCATTTATGCTATTAGCTAATAGTGTAAAATAAAAAAATTGTAAAATATGAAAATAATCTAATTTACTATTTATTTGATTTTAAAACCCTATTTTGTTAACTTTAAAGTTTTCAAAATAATTCAATTTATTAAATTTTTATTATATTTTAATTCAGTGTAAGTGACTAATTTCATTCTTTTTGATTCCTAGTTTGTCTATTCTTTTTTAATAAAACATGAAAGATTTTTTTAATTAAAGTAAGAAGTTAGGCTATATATCTTATCTACTTATTACTAAAGAAGAAAAATCATTCGCTGGTGGCACAATTGTTGTTTGCGGTGTCCATCTAGGGAGGGCTAGTCATTCTGTTTTCCCTCTAGCTGGGGAGGAAGGAGGGCAGAAAAAACTGGTACTTGATCACGTTGAAATTCTGCATTGGTCTTCAGTTGCTGATCCAGTTTTTAAGAGCAGAGGTCAGCAGTGTGAGCAGTACAATGCAGAAGAACGATACAAACTTCTAAGTACGCGTTAGCACATTTGGAAGCATCGGGAGAATATCA